TAATGAGATCGCGCTCCGAGCGTTCGCTGTGTGAGGTCTACGTCTTCATTCATCTTCTGACGCTGAATTGTGCAGCACAGATCTGTTCGTCACAAAAACTGTTCTAGGAACAATAAATATTTGACATTGTTTCCAACAGGCTTTAGGACCCTTGGAGATCTTGTAAAAGCGTTCATCAGTGATTTGAGGCCACGGCGGCTGATCGAGAGCAGTGTGGGTGATGAGTGTGTGCGGGGCTCGCCAATGTACGACGGTCTTAGATCTTACGAGATGTTTTAGTCACTCAGCTGTGATTAGTGAAGATGCTCGTCCTCCAGAGACAAAGCAGCTTGGACTGATGCACAGATCCGGTGCAGCTCGACTCTCCCTGACATGAAGCCCAGACTCACTGCTATTTAATGCAGTTCTCGTTCTCGAAATCAAGACTTGGAGGAAGGCAAAAATCCCCAGCTCTAAGCACGGAGATCTGAAGTTTTGGGCCACCTGCTGTAAACGGCGGTCCATTCTGAGGCCTGATTAGAAAGAGCCGTGAAAGACCTCATTTGTCTCGTTACATGGTGCTGAGAATCTCTCCTGTAATGAGATCGCGCTCCGAGCGTTCGCTGTGTGAGGTCTACGTCTTCATTCATCTTCTGACGCTGAATTGTGCAGCACAGATCTGTTCTTCACAAAAACTGTTCTAGGAACAATAAATATTTGACATTGTTTCCAACAGGCTTTAGGACCCTTGGAGATCTTGTAAAAGCGTTCATCAGTGATTTGAGGCCACGGCGGCTGATCGAGAGCAGTGTGGGTGATGAGTGTGTGCGGGGCTCGCCAATGTACGACGGTCTTAGATCTTACGAGATGTTTTAGTGCGTCTGAAAAATGCTATCTGTTGATTCGGAGAAACAGGAACATTACTGCTGCAAGCTATTAAGACCTCCACAGGCTCAGATTCTGGCTATCAAAAGCACATTGGCACAATCGTATGAGTAAAGAATGATTTACTGTCCTTCACATCAATGAGTAGCTCATTCAAGACGTGATGTGTAGCTCTCGTGAATCTCGTCTGCCAACAGAAAGGCCACTGTGACCCTGCGATGCAGTCGATGATAAAGCCTGAGAGTTTCACTTCTCTCACACAAAACATCCAGCTGTGATTAAACTCAGGTAAAGACAACAGAAAGGCCACTGTGACCCTGCGATGCAGTCGATGATAAAGCCTGAGAGTTTCGCTTCTCTCACACAAAACATCCAGCTGTGATTAAACTCAGGTAAAGAAATCACAGAACATCTTCTCCACAGCATCAGAGAGGACGAGAGCCTTTCCTGCTGGTTTCAGGGGACGGTTTTATTGCCGTTTTTACTGTATGTTCATCTACATCTCACATTTTAATATTGCTGTCGTGAAAAGCTAAACATCTCTGACCATGGGTCACTTTCTTTCAGCCAAATGTTCTTGTATTTCTTCTATAAACAGTTCAGAAAAATGCAAGCTTTTTGCATAGCTTTTGTCCCCTAGGACATAATTATTTCCAACACCTAGTACACTTATGGCATCTTCGCTCATTTCTGGAAGAATATCTCCAGTGTGCTTTCACTTCTCACATCAATCACTTCATAAAGGAAGTGCTGTTATACTGTTCTCATATTTACTCAGACACTGGAAACGGAGGAATTAATGAATTAATGAATGTGTGTTTTCTGTGATGTGATCCTAACACAGCGCATGTCTGCAGATCATCAGCGCCATCTGTCGGTCAGATCGTGTTAGTAACGTCTTTCTTTTCTAGAATATATGACTCTTGTGTCAGTATTCACTCATTTCATAGCAAGCATCATAAACACTTGCGATCAAATCATATATTCACACTCTTTAAAAACACAGCTAGAATGACACTTTAATGAAATGTACCTTCATTTGTCTTCTCACATCGCTTGTCTTTTAATTAATTCCTCTTTCTCTGCCCCGCTTTCATTGGTAAAGTGTTTGTCGTGAGGGAAAGGACGTTAATCAAATGAAGGACTGTTGCAAATTTATGCAAAGTGGATAAATATGATTTTCCACACAAAAATGTCACTTGATTATCATCAGATTGTTTCTTGTCTAGACTCAGTCACGCGGTGTTCGCGGGAAACACTGGCTGTGCGCGTTTGAGCAGCTCCGCGTGAGTCTGCGCAGGCGCAGTCCGAGGGGCGTCCCGGGTGACGTCACACGCAGGGCGGCGCTCCGAACAGGTGTGTTTATCTCACAGGTGTAAAGAAAAGTAAACGCCAGTGGAGGAGATCGAGTCCGTTTTGTCCCGCTGCTTCATGTAGACTCAGGGTTACAATGGCCCCAAAGTGCATCGGGGGCTGCGCCGCGTTATTTGTCCTCGGGATCGCATTTGATGTCACCGGCTTTGCTTTTGGTCGGTATTTTTGCCAATCTGCGACTGGACGGCAGATTTTATTAGACTTAGACTTCCTAATCTATACTGGCTCTTTAATAGTTTTCTCAGTGTTTTCTGGTGGATCATGTGGCACTCCGGGAATAGTAAAGTCTCCTGTGAGGATCTGGAGAAGAGGACGTGTGATAACTGCGCGCTGCTCTCGGAGCGACTGAACACAGAGACGTGCGTGCGTCATGACGAGGATCTGACGCGTCACGCTCCGACGCGGATAACGTGAGAAACCCGCAAGCACGTGTTCATAAAACTATATTACAAAAACCTTTCAGAAATATATGCTCTGGTCTAGCGCGGACACGCAACATTTATCACTGACATTATTGATTTAAACAGAGGCAAGAAAAAAAGTAAAGACTGACAGTTACGTGAAGGCGTCAACATCTCCATATTTTGACCATCTTTTGAAATTCTGATAATATTATACTCATGTAATTTTATCCAACCGTATGGAGTGTTTTGTAGCGAGTCAAACCACCAAAAATGATGTTATAAAGCATCTGAAACATGTGCAGCTGTGGTTTGATAGTCAGAGATATTATAAAAGACTAACAAAACCGAAAGTCAATCTAACTCATTTACCAATTTTTTACCTTTTGTTTTCTTCATAATTTGTCAAGTGTCTCAGCTGTTCGACCAGCACTAAAAGCACTGTTTGTGTGTATAAATGTGAACCCTGCTCCATCAGCATCTGTAGTGTGTCTGGAGCTGTGCTGTTCTTCTCAGCTGTTCATCACAGTCCAAGCAGCTTTAACCTTCTTAATTATGGACTGAGAAATTGTCATTAATCAGGGGATTTAGTTTTTTAATATGAGCACTTTACATGTGATTAATGTATTTGTACTTTTAACTTATACATACTGAAAGTTTAATTTCAGATTTTGTGTTTATATGCGTTTCATCAAATTAAGAGTTTTCAGAAAATGATTCATTTGGCCAGTTACTCGTTTTACTTTGTACACCTTCTGGATGCCTCTCATTACTAATAATACATTTTATTTGATAGAGAGCACGAGAGACAGAGAGAGAGATATATAGAGAGAGAGAGAGAGGAAAGAGTTTATTCTTCTGAAGTGTCTGCATTGTGTAACAGAGACCCTTTATTCTGGCTTTAGTACACTAATAAATCATCTGCAGTTGCGTAGGAACTATTTGAACTGTATATTGAAACAAGTATTACAAATATTCCTCCGCAAACTGTTTTCTGTTTGGAGTGCTTCACGAAACCAGTAAGCGCTGAAGCGTCTCGCAGCTGTTCAGAGACACAGAGACGGACCGAAGACCTGCTCCGTGTGTTTACTGAAGCACAGCGCTGTAGGTGAGAATTAAACATGTAATGCAACATCGCTTTTCCACCAACATCACGATTACTAACCCAGGAAAACCTTCCAGACAAATACAAGAGTTTACAGACACACCCTGCTATTGTGTATCTGGATATTTGAGCCCTTAAATGCTCCAGTGTTTCACCATCAGAGTAACCGGACGATAAGAGAGAGGAGTGTCCGGGCGATCATTGCTGGAAGGACTGTTGTTTGATCGTGACACGCAGGTGACAACTCCGTCTTCAGTTATTAGTAACGGTGCGGTAATCGTGCTGAAGTATCTCTGGATGCTGAAAGGTTTCTGCCAGCATGGAAATGCATGACAAATTACGGCTCCTATTATTAATTCATTAACGCTGTCAAGAAATCAGAAAGCCTGTGTCACGTTTCCCCATCAACACCCGCCGCGGAAGAATTATCCTTCATCTGATTTCAGAATCCTTTAATGAGGAAGCGTTATCTTTGAAGAAATACTGGCTACAGGAATCACACGTCATTATATGTGACAACTGATGAGAAGCTCCTGGTACTTTAGAAATGTGAAGAAATAGAGCAAAATCTGCTTTCAGGAAATACTAAAAAAAGACTCCGTGAGCAACAGTTAATGTTTCCACGTCAACATGACAATGAAAAGTGCCACAGCTGCTGTAGTTTCTGTCAACAAACTAACTGAAGCATCTTTATCTGTAAATCATCGTCCTTTGTCTCCTAACCGGATTCTAATGATGAGTAATCAGCAGCAACCGGAAGACAAAATGTAGTGTATTACACAATAAATCATTCATCTCCTTCATGACCTTCACCGAAGCCTTCCACAGCAATGGCCGGGCGATTGTTGTGCTACTACTGATGAAGAACGCCAGCCGGTTTCTCTGATAGAGGAGATAAACACTGTGACGACAGCATTTCTATCATCTACACCACACAATCATCTCCAGTCACACAAATACAGAACAGAAATTGTGTTTGTCATTTCATTTATAAAAAAATGCATATATCCACTGAAGCTGAACAACATCTACCACTTATTTTTCCTTGTGGATCACGTACTATCTGTGAGACTCTTTCAGTTGTTTGAACAGAATAAAATAATATTAACAGGCAAAGAGACAACTTCAACACAAAGATAACGAACACAGCTAAAGACATCTGGAATATAAAAGCAAAAACAACGGGGAGGAAAGGAGATGTCAGACACAAAAGGTAAGTGCAGTAACGATCCCAACTGTATCAAATATTATTTTGCTTTTTCTCTTTCATCTTCTGCAGTCAGGGAACGAGTCAGATACAGCACATTTTCTCAACACATTCATGCAAGCTGATATATTTTAATAAAGTACAAATGGAAATATATCTATCTCATAGGTTATTGGTTAAAATATGAAAAAGAAGAGGATGCGAGTAAACATCGTTTTGATTTGATGTAATGGCAAATAACTCAAACCCTCAATAGTGTTTCTTTTTTTTTCTAAAAATAATAATAATAATAATAAAATAAAAATGAAGAAACTACATTCATTTCCATGACCACGAGTCCACGTCTTTAAAAATGAAAATAAAACGGAAAAACGCCAAGTGACCTCACATCAGCACTGCCCGTTTAGTGGACTATTTGTGCCACAAATAAGATCCTAAAGTACAAGTACGACAAAATACTGCCTCTCTGCTCCAGGCTGCATTAGGTAGTGGACGTGGTCGCTAGCTGCCGTGATACAGGAACAAACCTCCCCACGAGCAATCGCTCGTTTCCACACGTGTGAAGATGAAGCTGACATAAGGAGCAGGTTCACATTTTAAGAGCTGATCGGTGTTCAGTGATGTTTGGCCAGTCTTAGAAAAACGCCAAGTGACCTCACATCAGCACTGCCCGTTTAGTGGAGTATTTGTGCCACAAATAAGATCCTAAAGTACAAGTACGACAAAATACTGCCTCTCTGCTCCAGACTGCATTAGGTAGTGGACGTGGTCGCTAGCTGCCGTGATACAGGAACAAACCTCCCCACGAGCAATCGCTCGTTTCCACACGTGTGAAGATGAAGCTGACATAAGGAGCAGGTTCACATTTTAAGAGCTGATCGGTGTTCAGTGATGTTTGGCCAGTCTTTTCAGTCGAATGCAGCTGTTCAAGACCTCTGATTGGGAACAGGGCCATCGCGAGCACACATCTCACACACATGCGTCACAATTACAGTAATATTCATATTGGTCACTGGCCGGTCGTTTGTTCGGAAACACAAAGGAGGTTCGTCCCAGAGCTCACAGACGGAGACCTTCTCTGCTGGGTTACAGCCGCAAACCTAGGCATATAGGTAGGCTATATTAATATAGGTGTGTGCATATATCTGGGTATGTACCTATTCATGTAAAGGCCCACTGTCCCTCCTTCTCTCGATTCTAATCGCTCCTTCTCTCCAACATCCACTGACTTTCATCTCCGCTCACTATCTGGCACCTGGGATTCGTTAACAGGTGAAGGGGCTGCAGCAGGTGCGTGGCAGGCGGGGAGAAACAGAACATGGGTTGAGGTCAAAGGTCGTGACACGGCTGCCCTAGTCAGTGGCGCTGTGCTGGTGTCTCGGCGGTGATGGGGACGGCTCCGTCTTCAGTCTTGGCTCTTTTGGTGTTGGGCTCCGCTGGGTCTGGGTTCTGGCGTTTGGTCGGGAGAGACGCTGAGACTGAGGCGTGGGTCGCCAGCATGTGCAGAGGACTCGCTGGAAAACACCAGACGGATCACGTTACATGCGCTAAAGCAACGCTCGGGGGGCAAACTCTGTCACTAGAACATGTCATACATTCCCTCAGTTTGTAAAAACACAAATGTGCTGAGCGTGGAAGTTTGTGCTTTTATAAACTCATAACCATCTAGAGGAGTGTGGACCAGAAGCCTGAGAGCACCAGTGAAAAAGCAGCTTTATTCATGTGCAAACTGTCCTGACTGCCCTAACCCTAACCTAACTGTAATCTAACCTAACCTCAGCTAACCCTAACCTTACCGTAACCCACATTAAATCAGCCACCAGGGGCAGCATTTCATATCTTCAAAGCAGAGGCTCTTCATCCTGGTCCTGTTGACCCCTGCTCTGCACATGTCTCATGTGTCTTTTATTTAACACACCTGATTGAGATCATCAGCTCGTTAGGAGAGACTCCATCAAAGCCACAGGCTTTTTCCGATGGTAAGCACTAACGACCCTCACATCTCCTGATAATAAACCCATCTCTGAGCGCAGTGTCAGACACCAGGACCAGGATCCAAAACCACGGATTTAAAGGTAAAGATGTCTCTAATGAAATATACTAGTGCTGCTCAACTGCAGCAAAATCATAATTACAATTATTTTAATACTGAGATCATGATTATTTAGCAGGACGTGTGAGTGTAAAGGGGTGCGTTAGATGTGTAACTCAAGACAAAAATACGTCAACACTGTAGTTAAAAATAAGCAGCCAGCTCTAATCAATGTGCTAAGCTATGCCATATAAATTCTGATAAAAAGTTGTAGTTATAATGTGAATATGGAGAGATAAGTTGACAGCGCTGAGGCTGGTTCCTGACCCGTGTTGCTGACAGCAGTGACCACATGCGTCCCGTTCTGAGTGATGGCTTTGACAGGCAGCTGATGCTGGCCCACCGGAGCCTGCTGCAGGATAGTGACCGTCTGTACGGGGCAGGACTGCAGAACACGACCCGAGCCCAGAGAGCTGGCTGTGATAGCAGGCACCGGCTCCACTTTCACTGAGAAAAACATCATGAACAGCATTAAAGAGGAGCAATGATCCCTCTGATGACTGGTTATGTACATCCAGCGAGTCTTCCAGCCACAATAAACCCCTTCACGAGGATCCACAGGCTGGATATACATCATTACACGGCTACGTGCCACATAAATAAAGAACTGGGCGTGAAATATTGATTTGAATTAAATGAAGAAAAACCATTCAGCAAGCAGCTCTGAGCCAAGATGGACGAACAAATTCAGACCAGAGTCAGATCACGGATTACACCGCTCTTCACCAAATAAACAGATACATGGACAAGAAATACTGATTTTACTCAAAACTGTTCTTACCTTAAACCTTACAGAGTCAAATGAGACTACAGTATTACAGCACCATTAATACCAGTGGAGTCTGACTGAACAGAGAGCGAGTCTGCACTGAGGTATAGGCCTGTCACAATAACAACTTTTTGTTGTGCGATATATTGCCCCAGAAATAATTGCGATAAGCGATATTATTGTCATTTTAAAGACCATTTTATGCCACTGAATTTAAAATCATAATGTGACAGCATAATAATGCAAGAAGGCCTACACACTTCCAAATGACAACAAACTTTTAATTTTAAGAATATTTAGATCATGGAAAATAAGTATAAAAATATTAGATACCTTAAAGAAAAAAAGAAAAATGCACAAAGAACTTGTATAAAGATTTTTCCATCTACAGATTTTTCCCGGACCTTCTTTTCTCTGAAAATGAAGGCTGCACACTATTGCTGAGAAACACAAGCACTACTCAGCAGTCAGATGTCCGCATGCACAAAGGCACAGATCTCTGAACAAGGCCATATCTGCAGATTAACCTTTGTTTGTAGAAGCATTTTTTAAATTGAACGAGCACCGACTACACCACGTTATGTACGAGAAGCTGCAGAAGACACACACCTTTCAAAGTGGAATGCAAAAAACATGGTGGCATTAATTTAAGTAAATATAATGGGCGATATATTGCGTCACCAAAAATTATTGAGGTCATGTACATATATTGCGCGATAAGTCGATATATTGATTATTGCGACAGGCTTACTGAGGTACGACACACACGCTTCAGATACTCTAATGAGCGATCTATAATATATACAGCACTGCTATTGATGAGTCGTCATCAGGAAATATCAGAGCTCAGAATGTCACAACTGACCAATCAGAATCAAGTATTCCAGAGAGCCGTGTAATAAGATAAAATCATTCATATAATCAATATCCAGGTCTGCATGCTCACCTCTGAGCTCCTGGTGCTCTCCGTTCTGGTGTGGCTCTGCTTTAGCGATGCTGGACTGGACAAACCCCGGCTCTGCTGCAGACAGTCCGGTCACAGAAACAGCAGGGATCTGGTGCAGCACATGCAGCGTCTGCATCAGGGGCTGCTGGGAGCTGGGAGCGGACACGGCGTAGGTCACAGGTTTGATGGTCTGCGGTAGCTGCCGCTGAACTGTGATGAGAACCGGTTGGGTGTTGAGAGGCGAACCTGTGTGGGAACATACGTTATAAAGGACACTACATATTTATAGGCTCATGTATACTTCTGAGTGAACAACAGTAAATGTGAAGGTCCAGGTGTTGTTTTCAAATTAAACCACTAGCAAAAAAGGGAAGAAAAGACCATGTGTTTAAACTTTAAACACATGAGGGCTTCCATAATTTCTCATTAATTAATTTCCATGACTTTTCCAGGCATTTGTGACGAACCTGTGAACATACGTTATAAAGGACACTACATATTTATAGGCTCATGTATACTTCTGAGTGAACAACAGTAAAAGTGATGCTACAAGGCCCAGGTGTTGTTTTCAAATTAAACCACTAGCAAAAAAGGGAAGAAAAGACCATGTGTTTAAACTTTAAACACATGAGGGCTTCCATAATTTCTCATTAATTAATTTCCATGACTTTTCCAGGCATTTGTGATAACTGGATAAGGATGCTTCAGATTCGATTTGATTCAGACTGATTCAGCAGAGAATTAATCAGGCTGTTTTGTGAACACCGTTGTAGGCCTAATACTCCATAACAAATTTCCTATAGCTGTCTTTATTTCAGCAGAGGTTTAACTCGTGCATGAGGATGATCTTACCTGGAGCATTCTGAGCAATGACTGCTAGCTTGGGCTGAACGGCGTGAGCGTGAGCTGAGGCAGGCGTGGGCTCGGGGTCCACAGGAACAGGTGAGCCCTCTCTTGATAAGCTGTCTGGAGTCTGAACGCCGCTGGAGTGAGCTGACAGCACCCCCGTGTGGTTAGGAGAAGCTGGAGCGCTCCTGAGGCGCAGCGGGAACACAATCACATCAATCAACTCAAGTGACATTGTTCATGAAGGCCTGTTTGCTGAAAAGCATCCATTCATAGTCATGAACGTCTATCAGAGTAATTTAAGTCTGTTAATTACAAGCAAACAGTGACTAGTTCCATTTAGATCACTAAACCATCAATGAGACCATGATCCTATTTTAGTAGAGGTGTAACGATTCACTTGTTTTCTCGATGCATCGAACTTGAAACATGGACTTTTGAATCGTGAATCGTCGATTTCAGACTTTAATCGATTTAAAACGCTAAGAATCGAATGAATCGTGATTTCTATAGCAATTCAATGCTTTCAAAATATATACACATTAAATGACTACAAGCAGGAATTAATGGAGCGCTTGAACAGTGTTCGTGCCTCGCATCGCTCCTTCACGCGCTGCACTGTTTACTCCTGCAGTGACCGTCACAGGACTGCGCTCGTCTCACTGATGTGTGATCTCTGCTGAGGACTCGTGGCCAGTCATGCTAAAGTGAAGTAGTTTTACTTTTCTGTAGTTTTTCAGTGGCTCTCGGTCACACCGACGACATTACCCGAGCAGTCGAAGGCTGCGCATTTACTGCATGGACGGAGCAGAAATGTAAGTGTCTAAAGCATAAGCACAGTTCCATTGAATGATAAATGTTTTAACAATGTCCTTCAACCGAATGTACGAAGAACACTGTTAAAATAACCACAGCATTAACAACAACCTTGAAATAAGAGCGCGAGGTTCATCTGATAATCAGATGCATGAAAGTAGCGTTCGTTGCTAGCAAACAGACATCGGCGCGTTTTCTTTCAGAATCATCATTCGCCGATGGAGAGGAAAAGTTAAACACTATAGCATGTTATTTTATGAAAATGAGATACTGAAAGAAGTGATCTCGCGCTCATAGACGTGCAGGCTATATCTGCAGCTAATCTGAATAAAAAGCAGAATGAACTGATGAAACGTTAAGACAATAAACACAATAAATAAAAGATTACAAATGATTGATTGTCCAGCAGTGTATTTGATTTCTTATAGCAAATTAAGAGATAAGAAAATAATTACTTGTAAAAAAAATCATAAAACATACATACATAAAATTATTGTATTTGATATTTCTGTCACTTCTGAAATGATGGCTTAAGAGATAAGAAAATAATTACTATATACTATATAATAAAACATACATACATAACATTATTGTATTTGATATTTCTGTCACTTCTGAAATGATGGCTGCGCCCCTGGTGTGATAAAATATTAGCCTATACATAATACTTTTAAGGCTCTTTTTTTAAATCTTGGCTTACATAAATTTCTACATATGTCATGCCATAGCATTATTAAACTAGCATAACAATAGACAAAAGTGGGGTTTTTCTCTCTAACCATAAAGGCTGCTGTGTAATTTGCCCCCTGACGAAGCATTTAAAGAACTTAGGGGAAGCATTTAAATAATCCTGTGAATGCACTTAAAGAATGCAGAATCGAATCGTTAATCGAAATCGAATTTAATTGTGAATCGAATCGAATCGTTCTGAATTTGCAAAAATCGTTCTTGAATCGAAAACCTATGAATCGTGAATCGATTCGCTGTCTACCCAAAGATTCACAGCCCTATATTTTAGTAATAGTCAGGCTGGTGAAGTATAGGAATAGTTTAGCTAATAAATGATAGTTCTGTCTCCATTTCCTCAGCCTCATAGTAACAGCATGAGGAGAATATTAATGATCACCTGGATGAGAGCGGCCCGAGTGGAGTCCTGAAGCACGGCACGCCGCGAGGCCTGCGCTTACGGAAAGCTTGTTCGCTAAGCTTTCCTTCAGACGAGGGGTCTATCCTCCAGAAAGAGCCTTTGCCCGGCTCCTCTTGAGATCGGGGCACTTTGATAAAATAGCGGTTTAAGGACAGATTGTGACGAATCGAGTTCTGGGAGAGAAAAAAGCAAGGTTAACAGTTCGGCAACTGCTTTAAGCTGCAAATTCAATTTCATTTGACACTGTAACGAAGAAGCAGATTATAAACGAGACGATATGCACATCTACTTCCAGAGCGGGTTCAGGTTTATTGTGTATCGTGTTTACTCAGCCTCTGCCACTTCAGAGTTTGCTGTTGTGTCTGTCCCATCTTTCAATAACACGGTGGCAGCAAAACACACAAACATATGCCACACAAACTGTATTAGTCAGACTGAAACACTGGTTTCTAATGTTGAGATCCTTCAGAAGGATCTGCAGAGCTGTAGGTGCTACACACAATCTCAGCTCTCGGAGGATCAGAGAACTACGGCTTCACGTGGATCAGTGTGGATGATCATGTGTTGGTCAGTCTGACAGAACAAGTCTTTCATATCAAACACACAAAGAAAACCTGTGTTTTGGAAAGCTACTAACAAGAGCATGTTAAAAATTAAAAAAAAGATAATAATAATAATAATAATAATAATAATAATAAATAAAGTCTGGGCCTGCTCAATTCAGTGAGTTCACCTCGAGCACATACAAATACAACAGCACTGCAACAGACACTAAATACATTACATGACTCTAAACTGTAGACGCTGCACAAAGGAAAGAGCTGATTGACACTCACTTGCCAGCCCTTGTCTGCGGTCCTGTAATATGGATAATTCTTAGTAATGTGGGTATATATTCCATTCAGTGTTAGTTGTTTGTCAGGTGCCATTGTGACGGCCTGAACAATAAGCTGTGCATACGAGTAAGGAGGCTTGGAGTCATCCTGTTATAGACAAGAAAAGAGCATTGTGACAGGTTACTGCATCAGATCAGTTTCAGAAAAGTCCACAGGCAAAGTGACAAACGAGACATCATTGCTCTACACAGCAGCCTGCACTTTTAAAATATCTCCTACTTTTGGACTGTCTCCTCCAGACGCTTCCTTGTCATTTTCAGATTGTGAGTTTTCATTGATGAGATCAGCTGTGAGTCCACGACCCATCTTATAACTGGACAGTCCTGCTCCTCGGGGACTCGATGGACAGGAGTTAGCAGCGCTGAAGAAAATGACAAACAAAAAGTGCATAATAAAGGCCTTTGCAATAGAGGACACAAGGCTGTGAGATGAAGCAGAATGCGCTTACCTGAGTGTACCTGTGGGAGACGGGAGCGGGCTCATCAGGTGGGCGATGTTGTCTGGGATGTTGATGGTCAGCGGCGAGATCTGGACTTGCACTGCTTTCACAGGAGACTCCGGCGCGTTCCTGCGCTCTCGCTTGTCGCTGGACAAGGCAGTGAACGTAATTTTGATAGTGGTGCTGGGAAATCGGAAAGTGCACCTACAAAACAGAGAGAGAAGAACCACTTATGCACTGATGTTTATGGAGTAGCATATTGAAAATATCTACACAAATAAAAAGCAGAGATGTTGATACACACACCGGCCGGCAACAGAACACCGAAGGAGAGCCGGTTTATGTATGGACACCAGCGTGACCCGATTACACTTTTATCATCACAAATATATCCGAACCTCTGCCAACCCTTCATCACAATGAGCTTGCAGCGTGTCCTCGTTTCACATCATACTTAATGCATGTAAAAAAAATCATAATCTTTATGATTTGAGGCCAAGCTCATCTGATACAGACGCACCCCTCTGCAACAATAAAACAAGCACACAGCTTTACATCTCTCAGATGGAATATCAATAAAAGTAAAAGTATGTACCCAATGCAGCCTTTTTATAATGTACTCAAGGTCAAGAGACATTACAGACATGAACGCCACAGTCCCATAATCAAGCATTAGAGGGCATAAAAACATGAATTCTATTAGCCAGGCTATTATATCTGATTAACATTTCCGATCCTGTCATTTAATTAGTGGCTCCGGCACACGTCATATTTGATTAACTCGCTAGATGTGGGTCAACTGAGGGCATCAGGGACTGAAAGAACCCATATTGCTAATAATAACAGCGCCGCGGTCGCTCGCTATGCTGAATCCTGTAAGAATATGCCATTAATATCCTTCAGTGTCGCTAATGATGATGAAAGCAGAAGAACCCGAGCGAGGCGAGCGTTAGCTGCGACGCTAATCGACGCGCGTTAGTCGCGGTTGTCATAATCAACACGTGCTGCTCGCCAAACAAAACAAATACCGCGAGCGACGCAGACGCGTTCAGGCGGCGGCCGCTGCTCTAACTCCTGCCCACAGCCCTGAGCTTACATGCGGGGCAGCTGCAGAGGAGGAGCCCCCCGTCTCTGAAACACCCCGTCCACGAACACCCCGTTTTTGCCGAGGCATCGAAGGTAGAAATCTCCGCTTCCCGTTCCATCCTCGCCGGCGGAGAAAATCTCCAGGTGCCTCCGTGAAATGAAGCTCGAATGGCCCATGCTCACGTCCACGGAGCCTTGTGAGGAATTCCGTCCGATGGTGACCGAGCGCTTCTTCATCAGATACTCGAACTCTCGGCCCTCGAGCCGGGCGACGACCGAGCCTGACATCCCGCTCACCGCCATCTTTACTATTTCTCTTGATGGGGATTCAAGACTATCAAATTGAATGAGCAGACGGCAAATTGTCTGTCGGGAGCCCTGCTTGCAGAATTTAGAGGGGGGATCGAATCAAAGGATGAGAAATAAAAACGAAGGAATGTGCCAGTCCGAGGACAGCGGCTCCAGCCCACAGCCGCGACAGAGAGAATGAGAACACGATCAACTCTACCAAACAAACGCTGGAGGCGGGGCCGAGCTGATTGACAGCGGTAGCGACCAATGGCTCTGCGACTCAGGAGAAGAAAAACGGACTCCTCCAATCAGCAGTGAGACGAAGGAGTGTGTAGCGCCGGGGGTTGGTTGCACCGTGTGCGGTCTGACACGCATGGTGTTCTGCAAGAGAAGGACCGGCGATGCTACAGAATTTACCCAGGCATCTGCGCACAAAACACTACAGTGGTGCTTTTACCGAGGAACAGAATTCATGGCGATATGAGGATCACCTCTTCTCCACAGGACTTAGGTTGCCTTGGCAATGGTCGTGTGTGTAATTAAGTTATGCTTATGGGAACCAAAGCTGTTCATAACACCCGCTTTTACTGTGGATGCACATTACAGTCTGCTCTGGCTCAAAGGTGTCCGTGCTTTTGCAGTGAACTATGTGCTCTGCAGAGGGTGAACCAGCTCCAGAGTAATTATATTATATATCTATTAACTACACGCATCATAAACCCGTCTTTTTAGCCAAGTATCAGATATGGATGTGTCGTGTCATAATAATTCGACTGAATTTGCATTTAACTTTATCAGAATTTAATAAAAAAAATCTTTGTAAGTTGCTAATTATAACGCTTTAAGTTATTCAAACAGCGAATAAATTATAGTGAACGCGAGCAAAGAACATAATTGACTGACTTCAGTCTAGTTTTAGTTCCCAAAAAAAACAAAAACAACCTCCCATTATAATCAGTGCTGTCCCCTATAATAATCACATATATTAATAATATATAATCAGCTGTTCACTGTTTGATGAGTGAATCTCTTCAATCGTATGTTCATCTGAACGAAACTGCGGTGTTTCAGCGATGACTCATCTGGACGCTTCTGATTGGCCACTGCGTTCATAAACACAACGGAGTCGTGTGTGATTGGTTATAATGCGCAACGCTGTAAAAAGAAATTATGCGACATGAGCAGATCCAAATTGGATGTCGCTATCAACACTTTTCATTTAATTTCACTCACGACAGCCGTAATGGATTTAGTTTAATTGATTAAGGGCATTTTTGTCCCAAGCCCAGTGGCCAGGAGTAGCCTAAACTTTGCAGATGAGAAGTCATATAACATGGAAAATCAATGGATCATTTGAAGATGTTCTTCACCATACACTGTGAACAACAACTAGACATGCAAGCAACATCTACATCGTTGCCTTTGCCATGTTCATCACATTACACAACCATACACACACACATCCAAAAATAACCCCTAAAAGAGTCCTAAAACCACTTTCACACACATCTTTCCACCAAGAGAAGACTCCTCTCTAACACACATCAGCTGTGATTCACAGAGTCCTGGAGACCTGCATGAAAGAACAGCCATTCTTCAGTTTACAATCATCTTTAATTTGTCATATGATACTGAACTGTGTGGGCATCATCATCTTCATGAAATTATACGCATCACTTGCACGTTATCAATGACAAAAGCATCAAATGAGTAACAAAATAGCTTATAGATACATTTCAAAGAACGGTTAAAAGAATTTAGACAAAAACTTAAAAACACTGGGTTCTTCAGGTGCAAGACTGGGCACTTTGCCAGAATTTGAGCGCATTAGTCTGTAAAAGAGAAAGATACTGCAAAACTACATCAAGTGCTAATTCTACAGCTAATAAACAAAAAGATGCGGTTCGATGCATTCATCTGCAACCAGGTTTAAATAGTGTACAATTTACCTTACAATTAACCTCTTGTAAAGTATCAATGTGAGAAGGAAACAGGACTTTAGAGCTGATCAATTTATTTTAATCCATTAGGAGTGTAAAGAGACTAAATATGACGACACGATTCCTCGTTCCTCCCCTAATATGCTGTGTATGTGCGTCACGTCTCGTGTGATAGTACAGCGACTGAAGTAAAACTTTTACAAAGCACTGATTATATTCATTTGATTTTCTTAAAGCCAACAAAAAGATATTGCGTTACATGAAATGAGAAGCACACCTTTACACCATAAAACGTCTGTTTTGTTATACTAGTCTAAATACTATGTAGTTACATCATTTTCACCCGGTATCCTGCGTTCATACAGCAAGAGAAACAACGCTAACCCTAACGAAGAGTTTTCAAATACATCGTGTGAGTGATGTACATGTTTACACCCGCCGCTGCTCTCAATCACAGAGCCGATCCTTACACTAGACTCAGTTTTGTTAGTGGACAAAGAGAGTCGCTCTCGCTATCTGGACAAGGACATCCAAAGCTTAAAAAAATCCACGGAAGACCATTTAAAAAAATGTCGTCCTTTCAAAAAAAAAAGAAAAAGAAAAAAAAAGGTTTCCCTCTCGTCACTCCACAGAATGTGTTTTCTGCGGTCACAGTTTTTCAGTCATCTCTCGGCTTGTTGAAAGAAAGGTCTCTCCTGTTTGAGTCTAGAGAGCATTTAGAGGTTCTTTTGGTCTCTCCTCCATGTCTGTGTCGCGCTCATCTCCAAAACGCCACTCGAGTCCTTTGGAGATGTCAGGAAAGAAAGTGAAGTAGTGTCTACGCTCAGATCTTCTCGTCAGTCATTTCCAGGAACTGAGAGTAAACATCCCTCGAACACTCCCCTTTTTGGTTGAAGAGAAACTTGTAGTAGCTGCCATCAGCACAAATAGCTGGAGGAGGAAAGTTAGTCACTAAACAGTTCTGCTAGTCATATCGGTAAATGATTGTTTGATGATTCACAGCACATGCCTATGAGTGCAATATTTTTATAGTCGTTTTTAAAAATATGACCTAAGTGTGTTTCAATACGCTTCGCTCTACCTATGACAGCGTTGGGTTCTGTTCCAAAGGCACAGACGCAGGGGGAACCGGACTGGACCTGGAACTTGGAGAAACTCCATTTGGAGCTGAAATACTTGGGGAGAAAACTGGCCGACGCCAAGCTGTGGTACAAGAGAGGCGCACCGTAAACAACACTTACAATGAAATACAGAATATAAATGCCAGACAATAACAAAGTCGAGGATGTCTGCTAAAACCTTTAGTGTGCTTCAACACGAACCTGGACTGCTTGTTCCTTTTGGGATCCTCTGCAGCAAATATGTGGACTGTGCCGTGGTCACTCGAGACGCAGATAAGAGAGGCATCCTGGTTGAAATTGATGCTGAAATACAAACGTGCTCTTTTATAAATACACACATATTCCCCTTTAGAGTGATAGAATAGGACAGCATGCATGCAGTGCTCACCAGTATATATTGGCAGTTTGCGATCCTCTTCTGAGTTCCTGAATAAGATGACCTGCTGAGGTGTCAAATATTCTGATCAGGGTCCCCTAGACAGAAGACATGTTCTCCATTAGCCAACCGCTGACATATTGCTTGGCTATTAGATTAGCAAGCAGCGCTGCAATAATCAAACAGCTGTGTGTCACACACACGAGAGTAATAAAGAGTGAAGTGAGCAGGCGAGACTAAACCATCAGTGACGCTGAACTGACTTTTTCTGACGCCGTGGCTATCCGTGTGCCCTGCAGATTGAGCGCGATGCAGCACAGAGCTCCTTCGTGCGCAGGAATATCCACCGGCGGCTTCTCCGTGTTGGCCAGATCTACGATCTGAACGTGTCCGGAGTGAGTGGCTGGGAACGCTAGCAGGGAATTGTTGCTGTTTGGGCACAAGACACACAAACCTGCAGAGACGGCCAGAGTGAGCGTCAAGAAAACGGCTTTATATTTGTCCTGTCAAGTTCAGATTAACAGCACACGCTTGTGCTTCAGTATCTAAGAGCACGGATGAATCGCTACTGCACGACTTACCTTTAGGGTTATAGCATGTTTCAAAGACATGCAGCTGATGAGGATTGTGAGTAAACGTGAAGACTTTAATCATGGAATCCAGGACCACCACAATTCTGAAACACAAAACAAACCGGATGTAGCTGTTTGTTCTTTATAAGGAACTTGAGCGACTCTTTAATGTTTTCCTAACAAGAGACTAAGCACTAGTGTTGTCAGAAGGAAGCGACTCTTGACGGACGGTCCGTGTGTATTTGTGTGCGCTCTGAAGAGCTTCAAAGGTTTCTATTTTTAATGTTTTTGATGTGCTGCACGATGGTGCCAATCATAGACGCGTCTGACGTAACGAGGAGTCCAGGTAGTTTGCGGTCAGCGTGAGCTCACTGACTGGATTCTGCATCAGAACCAACGGAGAGCAGATGAGATGTCAGTAAGACTCATGCTGCAGTGATGATAATGTGAGAGTGCAGAACTCAGCGTAAAGTGATCGACATCTTGTGATCTTTGTGTCTATAATCCATTCACAATTTGAATAAAAGTTTTGTTCTTCATGCTGCAAAGATTACCAAAGGAGTGATAAATGCATTTAAATGCAGGAGTGAATCTGCAAAATGATTGTTAAACGAGTCACTCACGAAACTGACAGTAAAAGCCACAAGAGTGAAACGGTTACTTGAGTAGCTTTAATACGCATCTACTGTTACTAAAACAACTCTTTGTCCTATTAATTGTGATGTGATTTAGTTATTCATTTTATTACTGACTTTTAAAAGCAATATTTACTAAATATTTGAAATATTTGAAAGCCACTTGATAATGTTTTGATGTGTTTTTACTTATATATAAATATAGTTTCTGTTATGGTATCGAAATTGGTGCAGTACCATGACATTGTACTGGCTTTACTATTGTCAATGTCACAGCTTAACCCAAGCAGAAATTACAGCTACACTGTGCCAATATTTAAGATGAGGCTGCGAGAGTCATTTCTGCACACTGCATTTGTGATACTGGATCTTTGTTTGTTCTCTTGCAACTTTCAATATCAGTGCATGAAAATCATCTGCTAAAAAAAAAAAGATTTTTAAATATATCCTGAATAAGTTGTCAGATATGTTCAGAGTCAAATATAATTAAAGGAAGAATACAACTACAAGAACGTATGAGTTCAATACCTGTCACGGCGAAGCTTAACAGCTTTGACCTCCGTGGAAAACTCAATCTCGATCACAGTCTTTTTCTTGAGGTCATCCCAAATCATCACTAACACAAAGACAGGAAAGAAGCAAAAATGTGTTTTTACCGATTTACTT